TACTACTACTACTACTACTACTACTACTACTACTACTACTACTACTACTACTACTACTTCTCCTAAGGCCATCAAGCCATGCCTCCCTTTCACCATCTTCACCCCTGTGCCTGCCAATTTCCCGTAGCAGGTTCCATTCTCCAGGAGTGGCTGACCAAGGCCCGTCCATCGTGACCTGGCGGTCCGCGTTCCTTACCCAAAGGGCAACTGCCCCCCGACCAAGGAGACAGAATCGAAAAGGAATGTTCACGTACAATCCCCTCTTGAACACCAACACTACATAGTACATCATAGTACCAGTTCTTCACACCCTGATTTGGCATGAGTCGAAAGTCGAAATAATCTTCTAGGGCCTGAGGAGACTCTAGCTTTGCTACTCTATTGTTCAGTGGCCAGTACAGCGCCTCCAAAAATGTGTAGAACAGGCCTTTGGGCCCCAAGAACTGCACGTCCAGGGAACCTCGTCGGTGTGCCGTGCAAAATTGATCGTGCATCGCTACTATATAGTAGCTTCTTGTTACTAGTAGTAATGCACTTGTTACTAGTAGCTAGAAGCTACTAGTAGCTTAGTAGCAACCTGTTCAATCCTGTTCACATCTTTTGAATTTTGAAATTGCCATCTCAAAAGAATGTACTTTAACTGCATGTGGTGATCCTAGATAAATCAATTGTAGGGCGGTGTCCTCTGGTTCTGTTTCGAAAGTGGTCTGACGACGCCTGAGAATCAATATGCATTACCGTATCTACAACATGCTTCTTTCAGTCAAGCCGCTCGACAGCTTTTTGGACAAGCATTGCATTTGCCACCTCTGGCAAGCGCAAGTACCAAAGGACCTCGCAGCTTCAGCAAAACCAAACAAACTGCTGTCACTTTGCCCTTGTCAAGTGGAGCACGATGAATTCAAAGAACGATGAATCCAACTCAGCGAGCAAAGCTATTAAACACCTTCATGGTTTGACAAAACTGGTCCTCGCAGCCCAAGTAGGGAAGTACAGGACCCTATGGAAAGTTGAGCTGTAAGGTTTCCCTCATCCAGGAACCAGGGATCTTCAAAGCTTCTCCTGCGCCCGCCTAACCCCCGCTAAAGAAAAAGAAAGAGAGAAAGAGCTCGTCTTCTCTCAGTGACCTTTCATCCTTTCTGGCCCTCGCCCCATACATGAACAGTTGCCACCCATTTGGTTTGCTGTTCAAAGACACCTTGCAGGCCAAATGTTCTGTGCGGAGCACATGCAGCGGAAGCTCCTGGGCTCGCCGACTGAAACCCTCCATAAGGCCCATTGGCGAACGCTGCTGCACGGACGCGTGCTCATACAGTACAAGTGCCGGACTTAGCCTCTTGGGTCCGAATCAATTCCGCAGATTTGGGAAGGTGTGAGAAGTGAAACGTGAGAACAAATGTTTATATAGCCCCTACGGTTACACCATTCCATCAGTTCTTCTCGAAGTGAGACCAGTGGAAACTCATCCGTCCTCCGGTCGCAGCCAGCGTTCGCTGGTCACCGCTGGGCCATCCAAAGCCCGAGCAGCTCCATCGCGGTCATGGCCTTAAAAGTGCGCTAAGACGAGTGCCCCACTCCCGCTTTGAACACATAGGAAACGATGTTTGGGAGATTTTTCGACACAGAACAAGGCTCCAGCACTTATCATCAGATTTAATTGAAGTCATGGCAAGAGTGCAGCAGAAGAAATCTCGACTGCAACTAGATGAGCCGATAAAACCGATCAGATACTGTATGCGTGCCAGCAAGCTTGAAGAGAGACCATGAAAGCATTTAAACAACGAGGATCAAGCGGCAATTCATCCGTGCAATCTGATGGAGCCGAATTCATCAAATGAGGTCTTTGAGTGGTCGACTTCCAGTTTACTGTCAGCCTGTTCGACAAAGAAACAGTGTGTAAACGGTGATCCTTGTGCTGAGCATGGCAGTGCTAAGCAAGCTGCCAATAAGCCACAACAAAGCTCAACCCTGCTGAGCAAGAGACAGGCCCAATTGGAAGATGTCACTTGAGCAGTTGCCATGGGGGCACATATGCAAGTGAGGCTTCAAGAACTCAGATCATTTTGGCTTCGTTTCGGTGGCACCCAAGTGTCGGGGTAAATGAGCTGCAAAGAATCTCAGGATTGATGACGGGTTTCTCTTCCATCTGCCTGAGGAAATCAGAATCGAGAAAATTCAACTTGCCTGGTCTTCCAATATATCCAAGTAGAGATACTTGATTGCGGTCGCGCGGGCAAAGACTCTCTGAGTATCAACTGCTACAAATGTCTGGGATGAAAAACTGGAAAGGCGTGACTTCCTAACTACAAAGCGTCCACCAGCACTGTGTCACTGTATTTTTGATGATAGGTGCACTGCCTTTGCAATTGCTGATACTCCCAAATGAAAACTCAAAAAGAAAACACTGACTAGTGACTATATAGTAATAGAACAGAAACGATTGGAAATGTCTGGCATGTGCGGAACTCACACCAAACACATCCAAAAAAGAGCACACCATTCTCCGCAAGCAGTGCTTGGCCTCTAGTGGGCTCTTGCGAAATGTTAAAACACTCTGAACCGCAGATCAAGCCTGAGTTGGTTTCAAACGACCATTCCCCAGGGCTGCCTGAAAGGTATCACTCAGGTCTTCGGCACGTTTTTTGCCGTCCGACCATGAGCACCAGAAGTTGCACACCGTTACCATGACGTCTGCAAGTAATTACGGTGCACTACTTAAAACCAAGAAACAGATCTGTACCACGCAAACATATTCCAAGCGCGCAGGACCTGTACAGATCCACAACCAAGTAAAGCTTCAGGCTAAGGTTTCGATTCGTGAAATCTCTGTAAACGGTCGCAAACATCTTGGTTGGCCACCATGTCAAGCAGGAAGCCTTGCAACGCTTGAAAGCTGCTGAAGCTTATCATCTCCGATAATGTGCTGCCCCCTTGCATTGCCCTATAAAAAGCATTCTGCTTCAGGCTGTCTGACAAGGTCATGTCAGTCTTGTGGGACAATTGGCTTCCAAACGAATCACATCTCTAGTCTTCTTCATATACACACTTATGCGCTGCCCCTGCACTCCCTGCTTTTCTTGCTGCAATGGAATCACAAACCTCCCAGCCAATTATTCACTCTGTATACAGTGAATGTCACGAGATAAAGAATGATAAAATAAATAACTATAACATATTATAGAACTATAATGAATCAAAAATAGAGATTGATGTAATATCTGAACTCACTCCTCCACACCTGTCCCCTTAATCTTGTCTGCTTTCCACTGCCTGCATGTGGCTGATCTTCAACCCAATGAACCTCCAAGCCTGTCTCCTCGGTGCTGTGCTCGCTCAAACATCTCGGGTGTTCCATGATGCGTCAACAAGACAAGTCCACAAGGCACTTTTGGCGTTGTAAAACGATCCTTTTGGTGTGGTTGGTCTTAATTTACAAGAGGATTTCATACGACTATCCAGCTGGATATACATACTCCCCTCAGAAAGTGCGATCGTCCTTGAAAATACCCCCAGACCCTCATTCAAAGCAGGACGTTTGCTCTGTGGAGTTTTGGTTGAAAGCTGCCAGGGTCGAAGTCTAAAGTCTGAAGACGAAAAGACGCACTTTGCTCCTAGTAGCGTCCTTGCTCCCAGAAGTACGGCCAGGAGCCCCTAGTAGCGAACATTGTTTCGACAGTGGTTTCAGAGTAGATGGCACAGACCTCAAGATGTCCTTTACATGGGGGTTCATATAAACCACCTCTTGGGGTCTGTGCCATCTACTCTGAAACCACTGTAAGAGTGCTGTCTTGCCAAGCAACTGAAGGATTCAGTCCAGTCACTTTAGCCCTGCGGAACACGTCACATATGAGAGATTCAAGCCGCTTTTGACTCGACCATGGTGAAAGGGCTTGTGGGAGGCACGTCCAACTTGAAAGTAAAATGCAACCTCTGAAAGTCGACATAGTCAATTGTATATAGTATAATTAGTCATAGTCCCATCTCACAATCGTGTACCATGTACCTCAGAATAATACAGTAGCCATTTTGAACAATCTCTCAGTCTGTTCTCTTTCTTTCCCTTCCCAGCCTTTTCTTTTGTCTCCTCTTGTCCTGTGTTTTCTCTTCTGTCGCCTTTTCTTCTCTTCTCTTTATCAAATACCTTTTGAAATCTCAACCTATTTCTCTTCTGTGAATCTTAAGAACTTCTGCACTGTACACGCATTTAACCACCCAATTACAGTATTTCACTCAAGTCCTCATGAATACAAGCCAGAATGTTCACGTGATTCTGTAGAGTGGGTAATGCACCCCAAACCCCAGCAGTGCAACATCCCACGACCCAAGACCCATTGTTGTGTTATCACCGGTTGCTGGCGTGCGCTGCGTTTCCTCCTCTGTGCGCCTTCGGCTTTGCTCTGCGAAGATCAAACTTCTCACTGAGTAGGTGGGCACGATCAGGTCTTCAGACTCCAGCACGATCAAAGCTTTGATACCTGACACAACGGTGAATGGCGGTTGCAAAGGCCGAAAGCTCAGAATGAAGAGTCTAATGTCCTTGATAAATATTGTAAAGCAGCAATGCAAAGCAAGAAGAACGCATTCATGCAAAGCTCCACTGCAACAATATGAAAAGCACTCATTTGCATACAGCATTGTTAAAAAGTGGCTCGTCTCATGCAAGTGCCCAGGCGGTTCAGTGTCTGGTCCAACACAAAGAGACAAGTGACCTGCAAGGTCCTGCATGTCCTCAGCGTTGCAAGCATCGCACCCATGACACCCCGGGTTGCTCAAACAACCAGTCTCTGTGAATTCTGAACGAAAGGGCCCTTCTCGACACTCACCAAACATCCAAACAGAGTCTGTACTCAGTGTCCTGTAGTGGATACAGTGGCAACCAAAGGGTTGCGAGTGCAGTATCACTGCTCACTACTGAAAACATGAAGTAATGCAAAGCCAGGCTCCAAGTTCGACTCTTCCCAAAAGAAACACCGGCAAACGAAGTTGCACACAAATAGTTCTGTCATGACGAAGTATTTGAGTGCAATCTCCATCCTTGGTATTGGAGTCGAGCAAGAATCCCTCGACGTGTCAATTGACTGCCATCGGTAAATTGCTTTACTTAAGTTTCCCTCAAAATCTAGGAACCAAATTAGTGCGAGCGTGAGCTATCCAGCGTCCAGTAGGTAGTAGCTTAAGTAAGCTACTAGTAGCTACCTCTCCCTTACTTAAGCGGCCTACCCCGCCCCCTAAAAATATGGTCTTTCTTCTTTCTGATTCTTCTCCTAAACAATGGTTTCTTGTGATTTCGGCTTCGGGCGTCCTGGGCACCAAGTAGCTAACGTTAAACCATCTGAACCCACCAGAGATTCGCAAGCTGAGGATATGAGGTGAGCTCGATTGTACAAAGGGATCATTCGCCCCAGCTCTTCCATCTCTTGAATTGCTCATGGTTGAATAGCAGCTTTACAGCCATTCCAAAACAACGGTTCTCTAGCAGTTGATCCAGTTGATTCAGCGGCTGCTTGATGGTGCAGCTTGAGCTTGACCCTTGTATGTATCTCGTTGAATGCTCTTCAATCTCTTTCAAAGTTTCTGCACAACCTATTTACTAAGTCGGCCGCATTCACTCATCTCTCCACCAAATCCAAGTCTAGCTTCGGAGCTAGAACAAGCGCATCGCTTTTAGTAACAATGGCACTACTACTAGTAACAAGAAGCTACTAGGAGCAAAGGGCCTTACTACTAGGAGCAAGGATGCTACTAGGGGCTCCTGGCCTTACTACTAGTAACAAGAAGCTACTAGTAACAAGTTGGTTAGAACGGTAAGAAGCCGTCTGCGAGCGTTCCTCTGCGGAGTGGAATCGCTGTTCTGGGCTTTGGATATGGTCCGCTATGGTCCTCGTGTTCGAGTGGACCAAACACCAATGCAATCCAATACAGCTACCCCCAAAAAGTGTACTTCCCAGTCTGATTGGGGGCAACCAATCTGGTTACTCTAAGTGGCCAGGTTTATGCCAATGACCTGCCATGTTCATCCAGTGTCATTGCTTCCTCGCCAACCTGCAGCCTGGCGTCGGGTCCAGGACATTATCGTGACGAACCTGCTGCAGCTCGTGACCTGCTGTTGGCCATGTGTACAAGGCTGAAAGGTGCTGGGATTTGCTCAGAACTGAGAACTCACTGAAACAAATTCCGAAGCGCCTGAATAGAAACCTCTTGCACTTGTGTCCATTCATGTAAAACTGCCCTCCACTTCCAAGAAAAAGTGCAGAATCAAAGAAACATATACAGTACACAAGCAATACTTCTGGTTTTGCAGGTTGGGCCTTGCACCAGAATTTTGAGCACTAGGAAGCACACTGGATCCACCAAGGTGGTCCTGACAATCACAGGATCATCTCGCTGACTCATGAGATTTGGTGCCGGTGCTACTTGGTGACTCATCTGGCAAAACAGGTTGCAAAGCTCTGCTTTGATGGCCAAGTGTGCCCTTAACACAGGGCACGCCTCAAATCCTTCTCAATGGAGATCACCATTCTTGCACTTACGGATGAATTTATCCCA